CCATGTTATATCAATGGGGAACATTCATTAAACATTTTTAAATATTAACCAAAGATAGAATATGGCAATATGAAGTGAAATTAATATTAAACTGGAGAATGAATATGTGCAAAAGACATCATTTGGGGAAGCCTAGAAAGAAGAGCAATCAATACTAAGGGATCCAAGCAAGGCTTCACAGAGATGAGACATTGAGACATATGATTTTTTGAAACCATAAATAAGAAAAAGGAAATTTCATGTAGAAGACACAGAATGAACAAAGACATGGATTTAGGGAAAAGATAAGTTGTTCATTGTGACAATAATATGTGTGTGTGTGTTACCTATAATTATTGATGAGACAAAGATATAAGATGTGGCTATAAGCAGACCCTGAAGAATCTTAAATTATATCCAAAGGATTTTTTGTAAGCAACATGTTAATAACCATAAAGAACATAAGTGATGTGATCAGACCTGTGTTTTCTGCAGATAGCTCTTAGAATAATACAAAGGACCAAGTAGAAAGGCCAGATAGAAATATTTGAGATATTATTACAAGAGACCTGAGCTAGGGTAGGAGTGGTAGAGATATAAGAAACTGATAAAAAGTGAAGTGTTGTTGATATTGATACTGGAGATGAAATACAAAAATATTGTATCTCCCAACCTGTTAGATGTCTGATACGTTGAGCTTATGTTCTCTAAAAATCAAAGAATGAATTCTAGGAACATTGGAGGTTAAGACTAGGAAAATATTTATTGACAGGATAGCTTCTGAAAGGCAGGAGGGGTCTTGAATGTGTAGCCAGGGACCCCACTTTACAGGGAAGTTTTACAGACCAAAACCCACATGGGTCCAGCTATAAATCAACCAATAAGGTAACAAGAAGTATAATTGCTTAGGTAATGGTGATCCAATTGGGAAACAAGTCACATAACAAGTGTGGTTGAAAAGAACAAAAATTTCTTCTAAGAAATGATGGATCCAGAGGTCCTGATTGGTCACCCACTGCAGTGACTGATGTCTATCTAGGCTTCGTTAGGACCAGTGTTTGTCCTTTTAGGAAGTACGCAGGCCTGGTCATTTTGTCTTTATTTTAAGGCCTGGTCACCAACAGGTGTGTCTCTAGCCACAGTTGTGGTGTGTTTCACCTTTTTCCTGACTCTCCCTCCAGGTCCTAGGCTTATTGACTCCCTGTACTATTTCTATCCAACTTAGCTGTCTATAGTAATATCAGCCTATATCCCTCAACAACTGGTTGGAAGAGAGTTTTCAATGGGGAAGGAATATAAGACGAATTGGAGTTTTCTAGCTGGTATGGTAGTGAGGATGTGCCTTAGTCTGAAGGGAGCATGGCAGGAGGACATACCAGAGAATACAGTGTGTTACAATGGAAATTATGTAGCCTTTCTTACAGGCATGGTGCTGGCATTGGTTTAGTTCTAGTGACCCTTTTAACTGGGTCACATCATGGCAGATGGCAAGGGCAGGAGCATGTGCAGGAGGAAGTCATCACACCTGGAAAAAGAAGCCAGAGAGAGCTGCATGGGGCCTGGCTCAGGCTTCTATAGCAACCCTCTGGAAAGAACTACCAACAGGTCACAAGAACTATCTTAAACTCTTCCAAGGACAGTATCCTCAGTTGACCTAAGGACCACCCATTAGGCCCCATCTCTTAAATGTCCTGCCTCCCAATATTACCAGTGAGGACCACGTTCCCAGCATGTGAACTCTTTGGGGACAAACCACATCCTGTTCCATCCATTTTGCTGCAAATGACAGGCTTTTATACTTTTCATGACCGAATGTTTCATTGTGTGCATACATGTACACATACACATATATATTATATTTTCTCTCAGATAAAAGTTTTAGAGGTGCTTTCAGTGTCTTGCAACCTCAGAGGGGGTTCTAAAACTGTGGGGCACATTGGTTGGAAACAGAAGTAGAAACCCTTGTAACAAGAGGCGGAGTGAAGAGACCCAAACTTGGAGTCATTAAGACGTTGCCCAAGTCGTTGGTTATAGCACTGCCTGAAATCAGTCGTACTGGTGGTTGTTCAATTATGTGACTGTCAAGAGAGGGTAAGTTATACTGAAATCACAAACATCCTCTAAAAGCTCAAGGACTTAGCACAACCAAAATGTATTTCTCTCTCATACCACATGGTTTAGCTACAGCTCTGCTTGATTGTTGTTTCTAATTGATGACCCAAGGTGACTGAGCAATCTCTAATTAGAAAATCATTTATCGCTGTAATAGAAGTAAGTATTGGCTCTAAGCTATCTGCCTGGAAGTTGTTTCCTACTTGCACATCATTGGCCAGAACAAATCACTTGCTCAAGCTTGGCACCATAAAGTGGAAAGGGGCAGCAACTATTTCTAAATACTAATAATGCAAGCTACCAGTAAATTTCCTTTTTGCTCAAGTGAGCTTGGGTCATATTTTCTGTCACCTACAAGTCAAAGGATCTCAACTGAAAAAAGCTAATGAAAGAATTAAATTAGATATTTTATTTAAAATATCAACACATGGTAAACATTCAATAAATAGGAGTTACTATTTCCAAGTGAATGAACACAGATCAAGTGAGTTCTATATTTCTTAAACAATCAAAGCATGTTCAATTTCTTTAATTTACTTTTTATTCATTTATCCCACGCATATGATGTGCTAGGTTCTAGGGATAAAAAATTAGTATAACACATTTATATTTTAGTTCTGTAGTAGTTTTTTTTTTAAAGAAATAGTAAGAGTGCTCAATTTCTTATACTGATAATATCAAATTTACAGTTTGTGCTTTTGAAATGTAATAACCATTGAGGAAAATTTATTATTAGAAAAAGATTATATATAGTATATAGCAAAATGAAACCAGAAATATTCTATTCACTTACTCACTACTCATCAATCCACTTATCCAATAGATACTTATTAGCATTTACCAAATGCCAACTACTTTTGAGATTGAAAAATAACATTTGCTCTTATCTTTAGAAAACTTAAAATATAGTCACAAAAAGGGGTGGGTTGAGATTATATTAGTAGATATATGATAACAAGATATAAAACAATATCACTGATGAGGATTGAAGGACCCTTGTTAGCAAGACAGACTCCATATTGCTGCTTGACCCACCTGCCTGCCCTTTAGATGAACTCAGAAGGAGGAAGCTTAAAAACCTCCTCCCCTTAGAAAGTCTCTTTAGAAATAACAATTAATCAACTATTGTTTTACAAATGTTCTAACAGCAGGACGTTCTGCTTCTGTACCTTTTGCTTGCTTTACTAGTTCTATCCCATAGGGGGGCCTAGAAACTGTTGGCCTCAAAGGTGTATAAAACATGTTTGTCAACCCCCAGTCGGGGCTCGAGTCCGATGCTCGGCTCAGGTCCCGGCCAGTAATAAACTCCTGTGTGGATTTAATATCGGTCTCTGGTTGGTTCTCTATCACTGGGTGCAACAAGGATTAGCATGATCAAAGTCACCAATGACCTCTGCCTTACTTTCTTATCACTGGAAACAATACCTGATACTCATAACTCTAAGTAGGAAAGGTTTATTTTAGCTCACAGTTTATAAAGGCTTCAGTCCATAGTCCCATAGTTAGCTGGCTCTAAGACAGAAGGCATGGCAGAGGAGAAAGATCTCATGGCTTGGTGGCTGGAAGCAGAGCACCATCAAGGGTGGAGGGAAGGAGAATAAACCCTTCCAGGTCACATCCCCAGTGACCCACCTCCTCCAACCAGGCTTCACCTCCTAACACTGCATTTAGTTATAAACTCATCAGTGGACTAATTCACACTGATGAGTATCACACCCCATGATCCAATCACCTCCCAAAAGCCCCACTTATGAGTGCCTGAGGCTTTGGGGGACATCTAGATATAAACCATGACAACCTCCATCTTGTCAAACCCTGAAGATCAGTGTTCAATCCTTGACAAGGAACTGGCTAATTTCTCATCCCAGCAGAGTGTTCACTCAGTTGCTCAGGCCAACCAAGGAGTAATCTCCAAATTTTTTCCTTCTTTCCTCCCACCCACTTGCAATCCATCAGCAAATCTTCGGACTGTGTTTTGGGGTGCTGGGATTGAACCCAGGGCTTTGTGAGTGCTGGCAAACACTCTGACATTAAATTCCATCCCTAGCCCTGGAAGCTGGCTCCTCAAACCCCAAGCACATCTTGACTCACAACATCTCTCCTCGGCTGGCTCTGGCATATCAGTGTGGTGCCACCATCACCCTGACCTGGACTTCTGCAGCAGCCTCTTTAAACTGGCTTTCTGCTTTCATGCTTGACCTATGGTTTTTCTGCAAAGTAGCCAGAATGATTCTTTTTTTTTTTTTTTGGTACCGGCGGTCCAACTCGGGTCCTTAGTTTGCGAGGCAGGCGGTGGAACCACTGAGCTAAATCCCCAGCCCTACAATGATTCTTTTAAAACTATAGTCACATCAAGGCACTTCTCTGAACAAACCTTCCAGCTGTTTCACCTTACCCTCTCCCCTAGATATGGTCTTGACTCATTCTTGAATTTCCTGTGTTCCTCACGCTCTCTGCTCAGATGTCACTTCATCAAAGAGATCTTCTTCCCTGGTATCTTCTCAAAAATACTAGACCCTTTGGACCCTGACCTCTACGGCCTGCATCAGTTTTCATCTTGCCACTTGCCACTGTGAATTTATTTGCTTATATTTTCTTTCTGTCAAGAAAAAAAGAATCCCCCATGGGGGTTTTACCTTTCATTATATTTCCAGGGCCAAAAATAACTTCTGGACTAGGGTAGGCACTCAGGTGCTTTTATTAATCAAGTACAATAGACATTATCCTGAGCTTTAAATATTATTTCTTGAGTCCTCCTAAAACCATATTACTGTCTGTATAGGTGTGACGCCTGAGGCACACAATCCTAAGGTAACCTGCCTAGTTCACGGTCCACAATTTAAGATATAGCGTCCTTCCTGGGGAGTCTTCTCTGCTCCTGGTACTTTGCAGCGAGGTGAGGAGGGAGACGGGCGGGCGAGGTGAGCTGGGAGGGAGGGTGTGCCCAGGAGGTTGAACCATTCAGCCTCCAGACGCCTGGAACAGAAGCTCACGCCCACCACTGCCGGTCGGGAGCCTGGAGCACGACGTCACACGATCCGATAGAGGCGGCGGGGCGCGGGATGCACTTCTGGTGGGGCGCAGAAGCGGGCTCGGACGCGGGGCCCCTGAGGGCGCAGCGCCAGGCGGCGGCGGGCGCGGGGCTGCTGCAGGCTGCCAGCGGGGAGCGCCACGCGCTGCTACTGCTGACCAACCACACAGTGCACGCGTGCGGGGACAACAGCCGAGGCCAGCTGGGCCGGAGGGGCGTCCTCCACAGGGAGCGGCCAGGTGAGCTCCGGCGGGTGTGGGGCGCGGGGCCCTGGGCGCTGGGTCCGGGCACCGCGGGGCTCAGGCGCTGCGCTCCACAGCCAGCCGGGCAGCCGCGTCGGTTTCGTTTTCCCCAGGCACCCGGGATTTGTTTTGGTTTCCAATTCACTTTCAAGCGAACGTCTGAGCTGAAAGGAACCTGGGCCACGGTCCCCTGGGTAGAGGTGTGGGCCATGCCCTGGACCTTCCGTCCAGTCCTCCTCGCCCGAGCTCATCCAGACCTGTGCGCCCACACCTGCTACCAGCCCGGAAACCTTGAGACGTCACCTGTCTTAAAATTTTAAAATATGCAATAGCATTTTTACTCTCACTGTTATTGTAGCAACATGGGAAATAAATCGCCTTTACCCCACACTCAAAGACAATTCCTAACGTTTTGATGCATTTTTCCTACATATATTTAATCTTTATAAAAATCGTGTCAGTATATAGTTTCGTATATGCAATATTTATAAACTCTGTAAACTGCATTTTTACCAAAAAGTACTGCCATAAACATTACCCTTTTATTATGTAGCTTTCTAAAATATATTTTAAATTGCTGCATAACAGTCAAGGCTCTGAGAGTATCATGATTTAATTATCGCTATTTTTGTGGAAATTAGGCTGTTTCCATTTAGGGGCTTTTATAAGTAATACTGATTGACATATATTAAGTAAATATTTGACCGTGTTCCTCATTACTTACTTAGAATAATTTTAACAGGTGTGTGGAAGATGAAAAACCTTTCCCATACCATCTTAGGTTCAGTTCTTGGGACTTGCAAATTTAATGACAAAAGAAGGATTAATAGGAGAAAAAGAAAACATACTTTTTTGTTAATCTTTCATATGAAGGATAATTTATGTACATGGGAATTCACAGAAATAAATGAAACTCAAAAAGATGCTTAGATTCAGGAACTTTTATCCTATACTTAACAAAGGAAAGAGGACTTGAGCTTCAAGGGGTAATAAATTCTGGGGGAAATACTAGAAAATACATGGGAGAACAATATGACATAGCAGATGGAAGTGGAGATGGCCATGTTAGGTGAGATAGGCCCGACATAAAAAGACAAAGGTAGACTATAAAAAAGTTGACCCCATAGAAATTGAGTAGAATAGTAGTTACTAGAGACTGGGGAGAATAGGAGGAGGCAGGGATGGACAGGGATGGACAAAGCTGTCAGGGGCAGCTTTGACTAAACTTAGCAGAATGATAATGCCAAGATATGAGTCTAGTTCCATAACTCCACAGCTATTTGACCTCTTGAATTCCACTGAGTTCAAACATACTGAATTGCTGGTAGTTATTTTTGAGCCACAAAAATGGCAATTTTATATGATTCACGGTTAACTGATGGGTACTAAATGACAGTTACATAGGAATAAGAAGCTTGGTGGGCTACTGCGCAGTAGCAGGGTGACTATAGTTAATGACAATGTACTATTTCAAAAGCTAGAAGAAAGGCGTTTTAATGTTTTCACTATAATAAAATGATGCTTGAAGAGATAGATATGTTTAACTTGATTTAAACACACACAGTGTGAACTTATTGAAACATTACACATATACTCCATGTATATGTACAGTTTTTATATTTTTATATATCTGTTAAATTTTTTAAAAATCTAAAAGAAAGACAAAAAGCGTTCCTTGGAGAAACAGAAAATTATCAAAAATCAATCCAAATACACACTATACTATGTATATGAAAATCTAAGGGAAGATAAAAGTTATTTCAGTAAGGATTGTTTATGCAGACTTGTTTTGGTCTGACTGTTTAGGTGATTCTCTGTATATGGCTTTCTAGCATGAATCAAAAAAGGGAAATTAATGGCCTGCTTTTAAGCAGATAAGAGAAAGGCAGAGAACTCTTCCTGGGTCTGTTGATTCTCAACTGCCTTCAGATACACTGCATAGCATATTTTGCGGTAATGTGTCCTGACACCATTTATGTAGAGATAGGAAGCAATGTGACACTTGGTGCCAAATTGTTCTCCAGGAAAGTGGCACCAATTTCTACCTTCATGACTATGAATCTTTGGGAAATATTTCAGCAGTACATAGATTGAAGGTGAAAACAGTAAGATCACAAAGAAGAAAACAAAAAAAAACAGTTACAAAAACTTTACCGATAACTACATTCTCAACTCTAAATCTATAATAATTTAGAGGCAGGCTGGAAAGACCATTTAGATTGGCGTTTAGGGAAATGTGATCAATGTTTCATTTGCAGACACAGTTGGGGGCTTCAAGGAACCTATCTCTTCACTCTTCATTTTTAGAGGTCCCAGTCAGACAGCCTCCCTTTTGATTTCTTCCTTCACTGTCCAGGGCGGGGAAGGCACAAAAGAGTAGGGCAAATCCTGCTTTCTCTTCAGTTCCCTCTATTTGGTAAGGTTGGCTTTAGCATCTTAGTCCCTAGAGGTACCCTCCTCAGTGGTGCCCACCATTTTAGCAACAGTTAAAGGTAACCTGAGGTAAACTAAAATGTTAAAGGTTTTACTTAAGCGCTCAGTAAATTTGTGAACAGGACAGCACCAGACCTCAAGCAGTTGTGCTCAACTGAGGGAATGTAAGGGAATTCCAGGGAGAAAAATTTAAAAGATGTTTGAATAATTAAGATGAAAAAAGTCTTAATTACTTAAAGTGGAAAGTCTCTAGTTAGAGTTAATTGGCAGTCTCTAATTGGCAGTGTCCTTGGTAGAGATAAGTGGGTGGTTTCTGATTAGTTATACTTAAGTTTCATTTTATTAGGCTAAGTTAGTCTTCCACTTGCTTATACAGGAATCCAAGGTGTTAGAACCATCTCAGCCGAATGGTGTCCCGATTATTTTAACATGGTCATATTCTCGATTTTTTTTTTGTACCAGAGATTGAACTCGGGACCTTGTGCTTGTGAGGCAGGCACCAGAACCACTGAGCTAAATCCCTGGCCCCATGGTCATATTCTCATAGGGATAGTATAACACATATTGAGCTTCTCTTAAACTTGTGAAATTACTAATCTTTGGGCGGGGGGTTGATTTGTCTTTGTTCCCAAAGAACCAGTTCAGGCATTGGCAAATCTGCCCATTGATCTTGTGAACTGTGGGAAGGAGCACTTCCTGGCTGTCTGCCATAGAGGAAAGGTCTTTGCATGGGGAGCAGGCTCTGAAGGACAGCTGGGGACTGGAAAATTTGAGGAAATATGTTTCACACCTCAGTAAGTATGTCAGTTCCTTCCTCCATTCATTCAGTATTTTATAGTATCATGAACCAGGCACTATTCGAGATGCCAGGACCCAAAGATGACTATGACAAACACAGTTCCTAGCCTCCAGGATTACAGGGTAGTAAGGAAAAAAGGTGGAGGAGAATAAATACACAGTGCCAAGTATTGAATTGGAATTCCACAAAGGAAAGGGCATAGTGAAATCAGATGTGACCCTTCCATCTTAATGCTACCTTTTGGAAGTAACTGTGGGCCTTGCTTGTACCCCCAAAGTAAGTACAAAAATTATTTTAAAATAAAAACATATGAGCTGCAGAAGTTGCAGAAAGCAGTCTTATCTGGATATCCTTTATCGAACTAAAGCTCAGCCCCCTGAAAATATAGTTGGCTATTAGCCAGAGAAAGAAGTGACCTACAGAAACCTGAAGTGTGGTAGAGACAACCTCTTTTGTTACAGTTTACATCTGTCTTACATGAACATGGTCAGCTACTTTTAGCTGAAACTAGGCTGTTACAAGACTAGGTTATAGTCTATTTACACATCAAGTTAGATGACAGTTTACCACATATGGAGAAGTCATTATGCCAAACTTGAAATATGCATGTGATCCAAATATACAGCGAAAGTTTAAATTTTTTGAAAGTTTATTACAGTAAAAGATACAGTGGCATTTATCTCCTTGGCATACACTCCCTCACTTCAAACACAGTTATCCCATTGTTCTTGGTATTTTCTGAAGCAGTTCTGGAAGTTCTCCTTTATGAGTTAATTTTAGGAGGTGTGATCAAAAATATACTGAATGCCACTGCCTATGTCAGCCAATAGAAGACAGGGTCATAAAAATATTCTGTGCAGCCACTGTGAACTCTTTCTTCCCTGTCAGGCCCCTCTGCTATGCCACCCTGCCTTGGAGCCAGCCAACTATGGACTGAAACCTCTACAAACTGCTCCTAGGGCAGAGAAGCTCAGCCGGTCCCAGCACCCGGAAGGAAGCTCCCCGCCTCCATCCCAGGCTCCTAGGGCAGAGAAGCTCAGCCGATCCCAGCACCTGGAAGGAAGCTCCCCACCTCCATCCCAGGCTTCTAGGGCAGAGAAGCTCAGCCCATCCCAGCACCCAGAAGGAAGCTCCTCCACTGCCATCCCAAGCTCCTAGGGCAGAGAAGGTGAGCTGCATGGGTGCCAGAAGCACCCCCCGCCCACCCCCACCCCCGTGGAAATGAGAAGACATATAAACAAGCCTCAAAAACAGACTTCCAGATCACCTACAGCAACCCCAAAGGGAAACCAGATGGAA